ATATATATATATATATATATATATATATATATATATATATATATATATATATATATATATATATATATATATATATATATATAGTCCTAACCTATATATGAATGTAGATAGATAGGTGAAAAAGAAAGAAATTAATGTTACTCAAACTTTTAAAATTTAAGAGGTTTTAATTTTTAGTTTTACTTCACTTCTAAAAAGAATGATAGGATGATAAAATTGATAAAAAATAAACTTCATAACAAATAAGTTTCTTTGGCGGACTTAAATAAAAATAAGTCTATATAAGAGGATCAGCCTCCAAATTTTCTAATTTTTTTTTATTTTGTCATTTCTAGCCCACCCCATTAATGAAATTGCAATAATTAAGTGGTGATTGTGGAGATATATTGGTACTGGGTTGGGTGGTTATAGGATCAGAGATTGAACTCGGGGTGGAAATTGGAGGATTAGTGGTGGATTGTTTTTTATTTTTTATTTTTTCTTTAAGGGTAAATTGATACTTATGAGAAATGTTGGAATGGAATTAGCAAAATCCATCATTTTTCCTATTCTTTGACTAATGGTGGACAGGGCTAGCTAGACATGTACCAATCAGGTTCGGCTAGCTCTAATGATTTTCCATTTTAAATTATATTGAGGTACTAGGGGTGTCAAGTGTAATTTTTGCTAATCCTATTTTCTTTGTAAATGATTCTTTCATAGGTGTTTGATTGTTGTTGGTGAAACAGCTTTAGTTACATGATCTTGACTGTAGATAATCGTAATCCCCTCCTCCAATTTCGAAGCTCCTTCCTTACTACTCTCCTCGTTCAATCCATCTTGGATATGTCCTGAGGAAGGGCTCTCTCTCTCTCTCTCTCTCTCTCTCTCTCCCCTTCTCTTGTTTTCTCAAAATCGTCTCATTTGTCTCTCCATTTTCTCTCTCTACAATCCACTGAAGAAAACACACCCCTATGTATGTATAGGTGGGGAAAGGAATTGCGATGATTTCGCGTTGACCTTCGATTGGCCAGTCTCTGCAACGTTAGCCAGCGGTATGTAATGCATCATAATTCATTTTTCTTTCTGATTCTTAATTTTATTGATTTCATTTATCTGTCACTTCCGAATTTTTGAAGTTCCTATGTTGATTTTGTTCCATATTTCTGTTGTTTAGCGATTTTTTGAGGTGATTTGAGCTAATTTTTTGAATCGTTACGAGGAATTTTTTTAGGTTATTTATTGTGAATCATGTGTATTTCGATATGAATATAATTATTTTGATCAATTATCAATTTTAATTGCTGTTTTTGCGTTGCCTCTGATTGAAGACTTTCTGTATTAGCGAACTGGCGCGTTAACTAAAAAAGGAAAGCAATTAATGCCTTTATCCAGTGAGGGATAGAGTGAAATGTAGCCAAAGACCATTATGGTGTGTTCACATTCAATGACCATGGAATGATCAAATGAAAGCTCAGTGATTTGGACTTTTTGGATGAAACAGTGTCACTGTCACATTAATATAATTGAACATTGTTGACATTCATAGAGTATATATTTTGAAGAAAAATAATACTTTTGCATCCAGGGGATTGCATTATACACAAGTTTTCTTACGTGAGCCTGTTTTGTGACTTGTAAAACATGCAAAGTATCACACACATGCTTTAGAAGTGTAAACCCACACAATTGATTTTAATTGGCTAATTTTGTGAAGTTTTGATGTAAATTTCAACTTGATTCTATGGTCAAGATGTTTCAAAGATCAAGTTTTGAAAGTGTCAACGAAGGACGGAGTTCAAGCTACAAAATCAAATCAAGAGATCTTCAATGCTTAGTTAAGACAAAGATAATGACCCACATACCCTTGATTTATTTATAGACTTAGCTTAATTAGGATAATGGAATTAGAACTAGAAACATCTGTGAATAATTCTTAAGCTTTGTGTGAAAAAGATTTTCTAAACCTTAAATTCGTTTTAAAAAAAATAGAATGAGTCATGTATCAGATGTTATTTGAACAACAATCCTTAGTGCTCAATAGATCTAGTTTTTGCTTAGGTTCTAACTTAAAAATAAGTCGGGACTTCCTTCGACTCGCTCACCTTTGGCTAGAACAGTTTCTGAATGCTTAAGGAGACTAAACTAGAGAACTAATGGAGACGGCTCGTTCGGTCTTGAGACGGCTTGAGCAATTTGGTCCCTGGAGGGTTAGAATAACTTATTTTTCACTCTAGAAACCACTACACTTTGACCACCTCTCATAGCTTGAGCAGTCGGTCAAGAATTTGAGTTTTCTTGGGCTCCAATTAAACTCTATTTTCGGGACCTATATATAGGAGGTTATAGTTTTTGCCTAGGATAAGCCTCTATAAACTAAAAAAGACTCAAAATCTTTGTAGAGAGCTTCAAGAACAACCCTATATCATATTCAATTTCACACATTGGAGAAGAACCCACATTAGAGAGTGTGCATATCCAGAATCATAGGTGTGTCCTAGAATACTACTCGAGGGGTCTAAACGGGTCATTGTTGTAAGTGCGTTCAAGTGAAGCTACTCGTACGATGGGTGATATCTAGAGGAGAGATTTACAATGGAATGAGCATCTAACCATGATGAATTGGTTGAGGTATAAAACTCAAGTACTTGTAAATTGATTTTGTGTTTAGTGGTTTATCCTCTAGGTGAACCGAAATCGGTTCCACGATTCTAAGAATAACCTGGAGGAGAGCACTCATGATCATGCTTAAGAGGAGTTCCCCTTCACAAGTGCAAGCCTGTAATTGCTAAGAACCAAAAAGATCCCAAAGCTTGTTTTGTAGCTTGCAAACTGGATATTTGAAGATGGTTATTATTTTAGATTTAGGTTGAGCAATTCATGGAAGTTTCATTAGAGTACATTATTTAAAAGAAAACCTGAATTGGTGTGCATTAGAATTTCGACAATATCTTCATCCGGAAACTCCTCCCATGCTGTGCATGTTAGTTCTTTATTTGGTCTTTGAAAGCAAAATAATCAATTTATAATGTCCATGGTATCTTGTGTGGGTCAAGAACAACTCCTGTTTCAACTTTTTAACTCAATTCCTTGAAGTAAGGGATTATATAAATTACATTTTTGTACATTGCAGCAACCTAGAAATTGTTGTATGCATCAATTAAAGACTTCCACAATCTACCTATGTCTTTTTTAAATCCCCACAATCATTTGTTTATATGCACTTTTTTGTTTATAGACCTGCAATATACAATGTACAAACCCGTGTGGTACTTCAGATTTTTTGGGGAGCTTGTGGGAACGGAATAGAAAGTTGCATAAAATATGTAAGTTTTTCCTTTTCCAAACTAACTTTTTGGTTGACTATGCTTTCCCATGGATCCCAAACAGCTAAAATTAAGTAGATTCTTGTAGTAGCTTTTCAAGTTAGAAACTGAGTTTTCTATTTTTGTTATTGAAGTTCTCTGCTAATATATTTTCTATTTGTTATTGAACAACTCTGAACTCCAGTCAGTTCAATTTCCTGATATTTGTCATGATTCTGGATCCACTTCCAAACTAAAAAGAATCCATTTCTCTATGTAAGTCTGCAATCAGTCAAAAGCCTTGTTGATTAATAACAGAAGTGTTATTTGTAAGTCGTCCAACCTAATACGTCTTGATAATATGGTACACAGTTAATACTGGACTAAAGAGCTGATATTATGGGAGTTTTGAAATTTTAGATGTGTTCTTAAGATCAGGATGCTTATTGTCCACATTTCGCAGTTCTTGCTTAACCGTTGCAGTGTAACTAAAATATTGTTTTGTTATTCTCTACTCTGCTTGTAAACTAATTAAATAACAATTGTGAAACCCTTTCTGATGATGGTTTAGTTTCTATGATAATTGATCATGGCAGTTGCAGAACTATTTATTGAAGAGAGGAATCATCCGCTATTCTAGCCGCTCACTAGCTTTTGAAATTATACAGCTCATGAGAGGCTGAGTTATGCTGTGGAACTGCAATGTTGGTGGGTCATCCTCATAATAATTTTCCTCCATATCATGGCCTTGCGACCTCTCCGCCTCTCCTCCAGACGAACTCCTCCTAAGTTTCTTTTTATTGGACTCTTAATTCTTGTGCCAATTTGTGTAATTGGGAGTTTCATCTACGGTCAGAAAATCTCTTATTTCTTCCGTCCACTTTGGGATAATCCCCCATCTCCATTTGAGCACTTACCACATTATTATGCAGAAAACGTTTCTATGGACCACCTCTGCCGCCTCCATGGCTGGTCCTTACGTTCGGTTCCCCGTCGTGTCTTTGATGCCATCATATTCAGCAATGAGCTGGACCTGCTTGAGATTAGGTGGCGTGAACTCCATCCGTATGTTACAAAATTTGTCATCCTCGAAGCCAACACCACCTTCACTGGCATTCCAAAGCCTTTATTCTTTGCTGCAAATCGAGATCGATTTTCCTTTGCAGAGGGGAAAATTGTTCACAGTGTGTTTCCTGGCCGGATTGCATCGTATGGCTCACATGAAGACCCATTTGTACTTGAGTCACAGCAGCGGGGGGCTATGAACGGATTGATTCGCCGTGCAGGTATCTCCAGTGGCGACCTCCTCATTATGTCAGACACCGATGAGATCCCTAGCTCCCACACTGTGAAACTACTTCAGTGGTGTGATGAGGTGCCTCAAGTGCTGCATCTTGAGTTGAGACACTATATGTACTCCTTCGAGTTCCCTGTGGACTACAGCAGCTGGCGCGCCACGGTCCACATTTACAGCCCGCGGACTCAATACCGGCACTCACGCCAAACTGATCTTATACTTTCTGATGCGGGATGGCACTGTAGCTTTTGCTTTCGGCATCTACGAGAGTTTGTATTCAAAATGACTGCCTACAGTCATGCAGATCGTGTGAAGCATAAAGATTTTTTGAAGTATTCTAGAATTCAGAAACTCATCTGTCGTGGAGATGATCTTTTCGATATGCTACCTGAGGAATATACTTTCCAGGAATTGATTAAGAAGATGGGACCAATAACTCGTTCGGCTTCTGCAGTTCATCTTCCTGCTTGCTTGATAGAAAATGCAGAGAAGTTCCAATTTCTTCTTCCTGGGGGTTGTGTACGCTCATAAGAATGAAATTTTCTTGACAAGCTGTGCCACACATCAGATAAGTGGAAGTTGTTTAGAACTTTAGATAGAAAGTATCTCACGAAATTGTTTTACATTTACTTAAAAAAATACTGTTTTAGGTTGCTCTTATTGTCCTTTCATTCCTTTCGTGCAGTGACGCTTGTGGTTCTCTGAAGATGTGAGGAATTTCAATTTTGTGTTTTTTTCTGTATGATAGTCTTCTTTTAGATTATTGTGATTTAATTTTTGATTTGCTAGGTTATCTTCTTGAACAGAGAAAGGACCATGTTTTGTCTCAATCAAGAGTAGCCACTGGCTATGTATTACTCCGAGTAATTGTGTTATTTAACGAAATGCATAAGCTGTCTTCAAGTGGTCTTCATATATCTCAGCAGTTTGATTGCATGGTACTAGTCAGCTTTGTGGTGGACACTACCCTCCAGGCACGTTTGTTAAATTTTTTGTTTTTCCTCATCTCGTGCAATATCAACGACACTCTGATCTTTGAAAAAAAATTACTGTTCACATTGACCATCCTATATAGCTAGTCTCGCACGTTTTCTTTGTACATCAGTGTAAACTTACAGCATTTGAGGTCTATGAATCCGTTCAATGCACATGTTCATGTTTCTGTTCCCCCCCCCCCCCCCCCCCCCC